GAATTTGGCCATTCTGGCTCCCACGCTGAAATTCCAGCTGTCTCCTCTACGTGTTCTTTGCTGATTCCTTCTAAAAGGACACTTTGCCTTCTCAGGACTTGCCACCAAACATGGGCGGTCAAGCTCCAAAAAGTGTGATGGTACACACAACAGGCAGTTATGCCAGAATTCATGTCTCCTGCAGGTTCCACATGTGTTTTGACAGAATGGGATTCCAACAGAAGCCACCAGCAAGCAGGCTGTTCTCCTCCTTAGGACCCCCTCCCCTCTGACATCTTTGGAACCGGCAAAAAGGCCAGACTTAAAACCAGGGTGGCTTACCTAGGAGGCCCTTGGCCATCCCAGTATTTTCCATCTGCCTGCAGAGGAACTGATTTAATCTTTCCCTCAGCTGCAAGTCATAAGCTCTGCCTGGAGGCGGTCCTGGTGCTTCTCTGCAGTTCAGCTCAGCGCTTGGGAGAAAGTCCTGCCCTTTGCTGTGGCAAACCTGCCCTTTGCTACGAGGCTGTTCCAGCTAAATAGGTGCTTTTATCTCTCCCTGCATACATTAAACACCATTATAATTATCAGCACTTCTCCCTTCTGCAGATTACATTCGCCCTGGCATGAGCCTTGGGGCATCTCTGTCCTTAATGCATTTCTTATTTTGCTATTTAACTGGCAACAATATTGGGTCACGGCCTATTTGTAGCATCTCAGGGCCAGGCCAGGCCAGGCCCTGTCTTCCCGAGCGGCAGAGAGCAAATCCGCCTCGCCGAGATAGGGAAACCTAAATGTTCTCCTGGGCTCTGCTCTGCAGAGGACTCTGCCGCCTTGGCCAGCTCGCTTGCTTGGTTTACAGGTGGCAAGAAAAGCCCAGGGTCTCCTCCCAAAAGATCCTGGCTGAATGATGAGGGGTGGGAGATGTTGCCACAACTGGCCTTCTGAGGGTGGCAAGACAAGACGTGAGTAACCAGCTTGCTTGAGGGAAACTGGGGAAGTTCTGAGCCTGAGCAAGTTTTTTTTGGGGGGGGGGGTCCAGGTTTTTCTTGCCTTTGGACAGAGAACGTCTTTGATGTCTCTAAGCAGATGCCCCGGACCCTGCCCCCTAATAAGCCAGGTTGTACTTGGAAGGGAGGGATCCGCCCGGTTTTTCTCCTAACGAGATGCTTCCAGCCTTTTGACTAAAATTGCAAGGTGCAGTGGCTGGACAAGGAAGGACAGCCCTGCTTCTACATAATCTCTGGAAGCCGGACGGAATGTGCTTTACGAAAACGTTTGCTTCTAGCGCCCAGGGATGTGAAGGATGCAATCCAGGAGGGGACTGGGGGTCTCTCCACACCGCTTCTTGTGTGGTGCGTTTTGGCCCAGCCCAGGCAAGGAGTGTGTGTGTGAGGGTGTCAGATGAAGCTTTGCAGACTAGCAAGCCTTGTGTCTTCCTCCTTTCAGCAAAGGTGGACTTATTCTGGCACCCCCCAAGGACGGAAACAGCTGGAAAGAAAGAGCCGAGGGGAAGGCAGCCTCCTTCTTTTCAAATTGTGTAGACATAATGTGTCATTCAGCCTGTTTGCTCCTCAGCTCTCCAGGTGTCTGAGAGGACGAGAGGACGTCTGGTGATTTCCAAAATTCTGTGTAGGGGAAGAACCCATGAATTCAAATAAAGGAGGCCCACCTTCATGGGCCGTTTCCCATCCACTCTCCAACTTATTATAGCAAATAAGGGGGAAGGATGAGCCCTGGGTGGCACCTCTGCCTCTCTGCACGAGTCCCCGCTCGAAGCCATCCCAGGCAGCTGCTCCAGGGGTGCAGAGCCACTGGCACCCCAGAGCAGATTCCCTTGGGAGAGACTCTCCCAGAGGGAAGGGGCCCCTCCTGCTCCCCCCCACTCCTGGATCCTTCTTAGGGCAGGGCAGCCCAGGGGGCTAAGGGGGACTCGGCCCCTTTTCTTGCTTGTAGCCCCTCGCTGGCCTCCCCCAAGGTGGGTGTTCCCTGCCCGGCGCCCTCCAGCTGCGTTGGGCAGGGGCCCGGGCGAGCCCAGGGCAGCCAAACGGGCCTGGAGCGGCCAAAGCCGCGCTTCCCGCCCGCCTTCAGGCTCCTGCTGGACGGGGCGGCCGTTCCGGGCGGGCAGGACCGGCCGGATCTCCCGGGGAAGCCTCGGCACGGGCGCTCTGGCGGGGCGGAGGGGCTCTCGCGGCCCCCCCACTCAGAGTCGGGGCGCGGGCCAGCGGGGACAGCAGCAGGTGCGGCGGGGCGGGGCCGGGAGAAAGGGGCGGGGCGCCTCCGCCCACCCTCCCCCGCCGCCGCCGCCACCGCCTCCATGTTGGATGCGGGCAGGCGGCGAGCGCTGTCCAGCACCGGCGCGGGCTCGCTCCATGGTCGGCGGGGGGGGGGCGCTTGCGAGGGCGGGGCCGCAATCGGGCTGGCCCCGCCCGTCCCGGCACCGCTGTTGCCTCTGTTGCCCCCCAGTCCTGATTGGCACCGCTAACCAATCTGAAGCGAGGCGCGGGTGGGGCCCTTCGCCCTCGGGGGCCCCTTTGCCCCTCCCTCCCTCCCGCGCGGATGCAGCCCCGGCCCCGTCCACAGGCAGGGCCGGGCAGGGGAAAGGCCAAGCCGGCATCTTTCCCGGCCAGCGGCGTCCTGGGACGCCCGCCCAGAGGTGCCAGAGCATGTGCAGAGCGCCGCTCCGGCGCCGGGCGCGCATCTCCCCCGAGGGGGCGGCGCAGGGGCGGCTGGCCGCGGGGGAGGCGCCTAATGGGCCGGGGCGGCGGGCCGAGCGGCGTCCGCCTGTGCTCCCCGGGGCCGGGCACTAGGGGTCAGGGCAGCCCNCCGCTGCCCTCGCCGCCGCCGCCGCCGCGGGCTCTCCAGCCGCCCGCCCGCCTGGCCCGGGACGCCGCGCGCCGGTGAGTGGCGGGGCCGGAGCGGCGGCAACTTCGCCGTCTCGACCGCCTCGTGCGCGCTTCTGCCGAGCGGGCTCCGGGAAGTCTCGGGACGGGGCGCGCTGCTCCCCCCGGCGCTGGCGGGGCTCCCGGGCTGGTCGGGGCGGCGGCCCCTCGGACGGGAGCCGGGCGAGGCGCGGGGGGGCGGGGGGAGCCTCTCTGGGGAACGCGGAGCGGCGTCGCCCCCTCGGGCCGCTCCGCATTAGGGGCGGCTGAGGAGCGTCCCGGGAGGGGAGCCGCCCCCTCCTCTCCGCCGGGGAAAGACGGGCTCCCGGGGCCGGCGCGTGGTGCCAGCTGAGGGGAAGGGGGGCTGCTTCCAAGTCGGGCGGCCGCGGAGCTGCCCGAGATGCGCGCTGGGCGGGCGTGGACAGCCCGGGGAGAGCGGCTTTCTCCGGAGCCAGCCCGCGGGCCGTGGGAGCGCAGGTTTGCCGCCGACACGCGACCGAGGGTCGTGGGAGCGCGGTCGGTGGGGCGTCTCCGAGGTCGGGTGGACGGGGCGGACGGGGCCGGGGCAGCCGCGCTGCGGGCGGCGGGTCACTTTCGGCCGCTGCTCCCGCCCTTCCTTCGCCGGCCAGCCCGGGAACCGCCGGCCTCCCCCTTGGGCGGGCAGGAGGCGCTCCGGAGGGGCCGCCGCGGGCGAGGAAAGGCTCGCCGGAGGCCAACAGGTCCTGCGCTGCGCAGCTGCCTTGTCCGGGGGGGGCAGCCGTGTTATCTCCTCCTTTTTTGCCTTGTTTGAGAGGGGTCCGGGCCGCCCCTCTGCAACACTCCAGCCCTGGGCGAACCTCGCCGAGGAAACGGGGTGCGGAGGTCCCCGAAAGGGCCCATCCCGAGTCCTCGAATATTGGGGAGGGGGGAAATTGCTAGATTTCTCGTGTCCTCCTTCGCCCCGACCCCCCTCAGTCAGGTACCCCGAATGTGTGGGGCTCCAGCTGCTGCTCTGCTGCTGCTGCTGAGGGAGCCGTGGTTTTGCACGGGAACCTCCCCCCGCCCCAGAAGGTAAGAATTGGGGCCTTTTCCTCGAAGTGGGCCGAGTTATCCGGGGTGGACAGGGCAGCTTTTAAGGGCAAGTTTCCTCCTTGGAAATAATCCCCCTCCCAGTTTTCGGGGGGGGGGTCTGTGGGGTCGAGGAGCCACTGCTTTTAAAGCTTGGGGGGGCAGGGAGCAAAGAAGTTGCTCCCTGCAAAGAAGTTGGGCTTAAGCCTTTAACAAAAGCTGCCTCTTCTTCTGGGGAGGGGTCGGGGGGGGAGCAGACTCTGCTTTCCCACTGGAGTCTGTGGGGAGAGAGGTCATTTTGGCATCCACTGGAAGTAGAAGTGCTTGGGAGAGAGCATGGCTACCCCAGTTGGGGACTAGAATTGGGTCCCTATTTCTTCCCTCTATTTTCCTCTTTTTTTCTCAATCTTAAGAACTTATGGGGGGGGGGACAACACAAAATTCCTGCCTCAAAAGACTTTCAATGGTGGAGAGGTGTGTGCACGCAGTGATGCTACTATACTGTCTCAATTCAGTTTGGGAGAGATAGATAACTATTAGGGATGGGATACCACTAAGAAATCTGAATGTCAGGCTAAAGGTTTTGATAAACAACTAACCTGGAAAGTGGAAAAACATCCCACAAGAAGGCAGGGACAAACCGCTTCCTTGGTGTTGCCAGGGAAACCACACAGCTGTGTTTGGGCAAGCTGGATATTGAAGAAGTTGGGCTGCTTGGAAAAAGACTGCTCGGGATGGCAATCTGGGTTAGATGGTGGGTCCTTCTCCCATTGAGCCCCCTATGCCCTTTCTGTGCCCACCTAATGGGGTTCAGTTTCCTTTTGGTCAGAGAAGGACTTGACCACGTGAAGAACCAAGGCTGATGTTCCTTCCCTTTCCCACCCCTACCTGGACTAACAGCCCTGCCCTGTCCTCAGGCTGGGTTCTCTGGCGGGTTTCCATCGCTGTGATCCCACGTTGCTGAACCACATTTCCCCTATAAACCTTCTCTTCCTCCTTTCCCCTTCCAGATTGTTGACCCCCCCAAGAGACAGCTTCGGACAGAAAGACTGTAGAAAGACTCCCTAATGCCTGCAGCCCGGGAGGAGCATTATGGATTTGACTAAGATGGGTACAATTCAGCTCCAGAACTCCAGCCACGCTACTGGCCTTCTCCAGAAAGCCAACCAGATGCGCCTGGCTGGCACCCTGTGCGACGTGGTGATCCTGGTGGACAGCCAAGAATTCCATGCCCACCGGACAGTCTTGGCATGCACCAGCAAGATGTTTGAGATCCTTTTCCACCGCAACAGTCAGCATTACACCTTGGACTTTCTCTCGCCAAAGACCTTCCAGCAGATTCTGGAGTACGCCTACACTGCCACCTTGCAGGCCAGAGTTGAGGACCTGGATGACCTGCTCTATGCGGCCGAGATCCTGGAGATTGAGTACCTGGAGGAACAGTGCTTGAAGATCCTGGAGACCATCCAGGCGTCAGAAGACAACGAGGCTGAAGTCAGCATGACCGACGTTGGGGCCGAAGAGGAGGAGGACCGCAAGTCCAGATACATTAAGAACATCCTGATCTCCAACCATTCCAGCGAGGAGAGCGGCTACTCCAGCCTGGCCAGCCAGACCCTGATGGGGACGATGGTGGAGCACAGTCCCTCGGTCTCCACCTCCTTCGGCCTGGCGGCCATGAGCCCCACCAAGACTGCTGTGGACAGCTTGATGAGCATCGGCCAGTCACTCTTGCAGGGGGCTCTGCCCCACCAGGCCCTCCAGGACCTGCACTCTGCCAATGGCCGGTGCCTGGCCGTGTCTGAGCTGAAGACCGAAGCCATGCAGGTGGAGGAGGCCTCCAGCCACGAGAGCCCCAGGTCAGCCGAGCTGGGCGCTTCCGGGGGGGACAAAGCGGAGGATAAGAGCAAGCAAGGGCCTGGAACTCCGACCCGCAGCAGTGTCATCACAAGTGCCCGGGAACTTCACTACCCCCGGGATGACAACGCGGAGCAGCCCACCGAGGCGGTGCCAGGCCCCCCGGTTGGGCCAGACCTCTTGGCCTCCCGCAAGGAGAAGCCGATGGGCATCTATTCAGTACTGCCCAATCACAAGAGCGAGTCCGTGCTCGGCCTGCCCGTCTCCATGGCCCCCACCCTGCACATGCAGCCGGCCCTGGCCGTCTCCATGGACTTCGGCTCCTACGGAGGGCTGCTCCCTCAGGGCTTCATCCAGAGAGAGCTCTTTAACAAACTCGGGGAACTGGCCGTGGGAATCAAAACCGAACACCGGACTGTCGGCGAGCAGTGCAGCGTTTGCGGGGTGGAGCTGCCGGACAACGAGACAGTGGAACAGCACAGGTAGCCCTTATTCTCCTCCCCCCTTTTGGTGTTTTGTGCTTGGGCTCAAAAAGGTCATTCTGGGGGGGGGGAAGGCAAACTGGCCGTGGTTCTGATGGACTTGATGATGTTTCTTTTTTTAAAATTCAGGGCAAGGCACTGAGTTGCAGGATACGCCCCTTGCTAGTAAGGGAAAATAAAAGCGGCTAGGGAGAAAAAGAAAAATTTAAAGCCGAGAAAAAACTCTCTAGTGACATCATTGCAAGTTGGTCTTCAGAATAGAAATGGTGACCCAAGGAGGAACTTCTCTTCTTTGGCCAGGCTGACAATGAAGCTGCTCTCTGTTAGCCCCTTGGAGACACCAGCCTTGCTAGGGAGCAACAGTAGAAGGCAGACCAGCATCCTATTGCCCCGGTATGCAGGCTTCCTGAATATATTTGCTCAGCCACGGAAGTCTGGAGTAAGCGTGTCCCTTGGTCTGGTCCAGTCGCAGGACTCCTCTTAAGTTTGTCTTTGGGAGCAAAATGTGGGAGGACAGAAACTGTGGAAGTCACACAAGTGTGTGTTCCAAGAAAGAAAAGAGATTCTTCTATGCTGCTGAGATGAAATTGGGAGGCTGCAGTCCAAGGAGAAACGATTGGCCCTTTGCGTGCTGTGAAATGCTGTCTCCCCCCCCCCCATCCAAGGCCAGCGGTGGGTGATGGGAGTTGCAGTCAGTGGCACCTGGATGGCCATTCTTTACTCAGTTTAATTTGCCCCCCTAAACTCAGCTTTATTCTTGTAGAAGCTGCTGCAGTTTATTAATGCAAAGCAGGATTTAAGTAATGTTTGCTGGGCTGAGTTGCTTGCTAGTAGCTACCTTCGTTTAGGCCAGCTTAGGCTCAGCCTTCTGAATGGCAAATTTTGACCCCAACTTGCATTTTTAGGTTTATGCAGAAATTGCTGTTTTGGGCACTGGATCAGTTTAAGATGATTGCCAAAGTTTGTTTTTATTTATTGATCTGTTTTAAATATTGTTAGAATTTCTGCAAAGGTCCCATGTAAATCTTTGTAATATGTCCACGGTAACTAAAAACCAAGCATACTGCTCAGAATGTGTAGTTGCTGCTCCTCTGAAGTAGTTTAATGCTCTTCTTGGTGATAGATTCCTTTTAAAAAAGTTTAAAATGTCCTTTTGGGTCATCAACCTCCACAGTGGTTTTAAGTGGAGCAGCACATTAAGAAACAAATTGATCTCTGAAGGGAGGTTAATATGTGAAAATCTCTCTTCACTCAGTTGTAGTTTTGAGCATTGCTTTCATTTGAACTCGGCTGCTTAAGAGGTCCCTATTGTTAAAAAATCATATCAAATGCATGGAAGAGGAGAGTCCATTTTGACAGGCAGCTGTTCCTATAAAGGCAGTGCTTTCTTGAAAAATATTGTGGGTCTGTCTATTTCTTGGGGGGACTTAACTCACTTATTCTTTTTCATGAATGCCGGTTTGTGCTTCATTTCTGGGCTTCTCCATTTCCTGAGCAGGCAGTTGATCCTTTGGGGGATTCTTTTTGCTCAGCCCCAATTAGGAACCCCCCCTCCTCAGTCTGTCTGCGAGGTCTGGAAGGTAGAAAGGGCTTGGCAGGGCTCCTTGGCTGCACCTGGCCTTACTTGTCATGCAGAAAAACAAAAATTGTGCCCAGCAGCCCGGTGCCTTCGTCTTGTGCAAACATTTGTAGCTGAGGTGCAGAGTGAAACATATTTCTGTGCCTCTAACACTGTGTAAACATATTAGAAGGCAGCCTGCTAATAGGATTTGAGCCACAATGCAGAAGATGCTCAGAGATGTTTTAATGAGCCGACAAGTTTAATTACTGTAGTCCAAATGTACATAATGTACATTGGCAAGGCCGGTGAGGAGCAGGCTGCTTTGGGCTTGGTGACTTTTAGGAACAGTAACTCTAATCTAGGGTGGAGCAGCAAATCCTCTCTTCTGAGCAGGGCCACAACTTACGGGCAGTTGGGCTGCCTCTGGCACCTGTCCCAGGCGCTTTGCCCATTGAGGTCAACCCCTTGGCCATTGGGCCTCCCAGGAAGGATTGATTCCCCTTCCCACAAAAATGGCTTTGCCGGCATTCAGGGTTGGCTTTTCAGCTCCTCGCCCCTGCTAACCTTGACCCTCCTCTGTAGCCAGGGACCAGTTCCTGTTCCTGAGCTGAAACCCACTGAGGAAGGGGCACTGTTCCCCCAGGGAGTGTTGAGCCTCCTAAAGATTTGAGGATAATGGGAAGAGAGGAGCAAGTTGGAGAGGGCTTTCCTGGATACACTGTGAGGGACAGAGGGATCTGAAGCCCACCTCATAACCTGGTTTGTCTTCTCTGTGCCAATCCCTAATGTTGGGTGGGGGTCCCAATGTCTGTTCCTCACCTGGGCTGTTGAAATGGCTGGGGTCTCTGTCTCCAAGAAAACAAAGAGGAAGAAGCCGGGTCTCAAATATCATGGAAGTCAGGAAGAAACATTCTTCTGTAAAATCACAGCAGACTTTTGAAGGCCAGGTCACGCCAGGAACCGGTGGTCCAAGGGGATTCCTCCCCCCCCCACCGCCCCTTGCTACCCTCTGGTTCAAGGATCAGGCGCCTTCCTTCCTTCCTTCCTTCTGAGGTGCTCTGGCATCAAGCCTTGCCCAGCTGGGAAGTGTCACGGTTGGGGATTTTAAATACTGAGCCATTCTGGAATTGCCAGAGCTGGTCGATAACCTTGGTTGTTTCTTCTGTCCCTGCCGGCTTCACTCTGAGGTTTGAATTTCCTTAATCCCGTCAAATGGTTGCTTGGCTCCACGTGAACTGCTGAATTGATGAGTAAGGTGGCAGATTTTTCAGTCTTAAAAAGGTACTTTTAAAAAAAGAAATAGAAGGGCTGGTGGGTTTTTCGTCTAAAAAAAGCTGCTTTTTTTAAGCGTCATGTTCTGTGTTCTTTTAGATGTAATTGAAGCAACACCTGTAGCGGGAGGAATTATTTATTTATGATGCTCTTAACACAGTCTGGCTAGTGCGTTTTTTTTCCAGGGGAGAGGGAAAATGTAGGGCGAAAAAGGAAGATTCCGAGAACGACAATGAGAAGACTAATTCTCATGAACTGGAGTTAGCTGCAACTCCTGTGGGTGAATTTTGCTTAGGACAGTGAAACCAGAGCTGGACGCTTGTGAACGTCCTTAAATTAGGTGTGAACTTGAGTGATCTGGCACTCTCTTCCCAGTAGTGGAACTAACATTTCAGCAATCCATTACCACCAATTAAATGTTTCCTTCCACAATATGCCCCAGATTTAGTTAAACTTTGCTTGTCATTTAAATCAGGCCATCGAATCTGGAAAATTTCAGCTGAAGGTGCTGACAATTTTGGTCTCCCTGATATTTATTGCAACCTGAATTTTTATGAGATGTGACACATTGATACCAGTGCCTGTGGTTTCTTGATTTTCTGTTAACTCCCCCTTCTTTGGAGGTCATTTTGGTTAAACAATTTTTAAGGCACAGATCAGAAAACTAAAGAGGTTTTGTTAATAATCATGATTTCCAAAGGGCAGTGGGACGCTTGGAAAATAAGAGTAAATTTGAATTGTTTAGAGCTTTGACAATGGACAGATTTCATTCTTATTTGTCTGAAAAGGTTGACACATACTAAAGAATGTTTGATGTACAATATTTTATCACACTTACTGAGAAATTTGAAGAATACCCCTGTACCTTGAGTTACCTATGTTATTGTTTTCCCATCATTTATTAATACAAAGTGATAATTCTCATATCAAAAGCTAACTAATGTTCAGAACTGTATAAACCTTAATTTAAAATGTGGGATAATTTGAGGAATTTTAGCCAAATCTGCACAGGACTTTCTAATATTATATGCTGGCTTCATTCGTGACATTACTTTAGAATCACAAATGAAAGTCAGCGTTAATTGAATTTTTGTTATTCTTTTGAATGGTGCTTTTTTGCTAAATTCTGCGTGGCAGAAAATGGTGACAAAATATTTCTGGGCAAAATGTGTATAACAGAAGATATTCAGACAGAAGAAATTCAGAGTTGATGACTGCGATTCCTCTGTTGGTTCTTGTTCTGGCTTCCCAAAGGTCTTTGAAGGCTGCTGAATTTGGGTGAACCTCTTGACCAAAATTTCTTCTTATTTTTGACCTGCAACTTTGCCACCACCTGTTTCTCTCTTCCAAATGGGTGCTGTGGTTCTGACTCACGGAACAGGCAGTGAGCACCGAACCGTCAACTTCTGTAAATAGAAAGTTTCCAACAAGATTCAGAGACGTTCAGATTTAATTTAATGTTTGCATTGATTGCAGCTTTTAGTTGCCAGTTTGGGGAATGGAATAGCACGGATGCTTTTAAACACAGTGAAATGAATGAAAGCGTCATTCGTTTTTTTCAAAAGGAATTATGCTTTTAATTCCAGGTGATGCGTGGAATTTGGGGGGGCTTGTCCCACGCCTGGGGGTTTAGATCAAGCATGTATGTGTGTGTGTGCTCAGTGTGTGATCAAAAAATCAACTTGGTGGCCACAGTGGTACGACTGCATCTCCAGCACGTTGGCCAGGTGCTATGATCACCTCCAGCTTTGGATCTTGGAGAAGACAATGACTTCGTGTGTGTTTTTCTCTCCTATGTTGCACTAACCGCTCTGCGATGGATTGCCTCTGGCTTCTCCACAGCTCTGGCTCCCCCCCCAAAAAAATGTTTGACAGTGATAACTTCCAGAATGTGTGGGGCTGGCTTGGCGCTCTCTCCTTTCTGGCTGATGGACCTTATTAGTGGCACCTGGCATTGCGGCTGGCTAATGGAAAGCAGTGGGGTGGCTGCTCCTGCAGCCGCCCATCTGGTAAGGGTCTTTGTGGGCCAGCCCTGATCTGGCCATGGAGGTGCTTCTTCTTTGCTTTATGGTCAAGAGGACTCCAGAAATGACTGCTGCCAGCCAGGTTCAGGCCCTGGTCGGGAGCTGGGAGCGTGGAAGGAGCCCTCCCCAGAAGGAAGCTGGGG